TTATCTCAGCCGAGAGGCTGCTTGTTTTTATATTCTTCAATATTTCTGGAAATGAACCCTAATTTTGGAGCAAACAGATAAAATTTAAGTCAGATTTCAATTTTTACTTAAAAAATTTGGGTATTTTTGTCCCATTCTTCTGAAAGAAAGTGCAGACTATAGACGGGATTATTTTGTGAATTTGTGATGAAAAGAGGGGTGAAAATGTTTCCTAGTGCGATAATCGATAATCACAAATCGTAAGACAAATGTACGTTCCTTTATACTAATGCAAATGAGTGAGTCTGTGAATGAACATGATTTTTTTTTTCTGATACCCTACCTCATTCAAAAAACATGTATTTTGCGTCTTTGAAAATGACGACAATCTTTCTTATTTCTGTTTAAGCAATCAAACATTTCCAAACATCGACAGTGTTCAGTGATATAACTGGTTATAAATACATTTGATTGATGTGAAATTGACAATATATGAGCAATGTATATGCTCTGTTAGCGCATGTGCTTATAGTTACAGAGAGTTTTCTATGGTTAAAATAAGTAATATTTGGAAGATTTAATCCACAGCCAATGCAGTTTTTGGCTTACATGCCCTTCTTAATACTGAAGATGTGCTTCTAATAGAGCAAATATGGCAGATTTCTTACTTGTACTATACATCTTTGGTACTATGTAATGCTTTTAACAAAACTCTAGTGCATCCTGTCTGGTAAAAATGAAAGTATAGAGTCTTTCAACAATCAGTAAATAACATACATTGTACATGTATCAATGCCAACGGCTATTTTTGTCCGAATCATCTGAACGAAAGTGCAGAATATTTTGTGAATTTGTGATGAAAAGAGGGAACTTGTAGTGAAAAGGTTAATGTATCCCCTGGACCACATAGGAAGTATGGTCTGCCACCAAGGGTGTATAAGATAAGGGCATACAATTTAGATCATGTTTGAAGATTTATAGCATGAAGATCCCATCTAACGCTGTCACAGAATGCTATGGATTGGAAATCTTTGATTGTAGGAGAAAAAAATGAGTGAGGTTAATGCCCAGTTCTGAGCAGCAAAAACACATGCATAATACAAGCTCTGCCAATATGCCCAAGGACACTAGAAAAGATAGGTCTGAAATGAGAAAAGACAGCTTGACAAATAAACTAACAGACCTGCTTGTTTTTTAGTATTTATAGATTTGTGTGTTTATATGTTAACTGTCAGTTTGCCTAACTTAAACTGCATCTTCATTTGCATACCTCTGCCTTACAAATCCATAGTATCATCCACAGAGCAGTTTGTGTCTACGTAGCTAGAGGTGGACTATAGGAAACTTGGGTGGGACGATGGCTGAAAAACTGTGCAAAATATTTGTTTTCCTTCGCTTAGTTTTGCGTTATTTTTTTGTAACATATACTGTAATTTTTTTTTCACTATGTGAAATACATTTTCCTTATGATTTAGTTGTGCAGATTTTTTGTTTCCATTTCTGGCATCGCCTCTGAGTTTCTAATGGGCAAACCTGTATGATTTATTTATAAGGAAGTTTTCTCATCATGTCTGGTAGTGGGTTTTATTGGCTGCATGTTACTTTTTTTTTTGTTTTGTGAAAAAAATTGTGAATTTTCAATTTGTTGTTTTTTGTGAATTCTACACAAATGTGAAACTAAAGAGTTTATCATCAAATAAATGACGACCAGTGAAGAAAACAAATAATAACAAGTTGTTGGCTGTCTCAAAAAAAAAATCTAAATATTAATTTGTACTGTTTAATACTTTATTTTAGCTGGAATTAATTAAAAGCCCTTTTGGGTGTTTTGTGTGGAATTTATTTTCACTGATTTTTGACGAGTTGAATGTAAAATATAGGAAAAAAGTTATATTCGCTGGATTTTATTTTCACTGAATCATTCCTTTAGCGAAAATAGCGAAAATTAATTCCGGGCAAAAATAAAGTGTTCTACAGTACTTTATTTTTTATTTGATTCAATTGATGACTTCAATTATTGTTTGTTTTTCCTTTTCTTGTGACGTGTTTTTTTTTTTTTTTTTTTTTCTGTTCTAGTGTGTGGTTCTTCTATTTTAGTACGTGTGTGGGTTTTATTTCTGTTTTACTTTTCAATTTTATCAAGATTCCAATAAGGATACGATTACAATACAGATTATTGTATGGAAAGGGCCATTTCAATGATTGATCGACTGTTGATAGGATTTTTCTTTTGAATGCAAAGAAAATAGATTTTTCTGTCAAAAATGCGAACAATATAATAGATTATCCCTGGCTATCTATTGCTGAAGGTCACATGACATTGATACCAAAGATGGATCAGGCCACACACAGAATTCAAATAAACATCATTGCTGTCTGTCCTCTCATGGTACATTACACAGTGCAGTTAAACATCAAGTTCATAGCTGTGCTGTATTATTTATTTAACTTTAGGGGTTGACTGCTAGGAACTCTGGAAGGTAAGATGATTGAAAAAAATTAGCTGTTGAACACTGATGTTCAAAACTGACACTGTTGGATGCTGTTGAACACTGATGCTGTTGAACACTGATGCTGTTGAACATTGACACTGTTGAACACTGATGCTGTTGAACACTGATGCTGTTGAACATTGACACTGTTGAACACTGATGCTGTTGAACACTGATGCTGTTGAACATTGACACTGTTGAACACTGGCACTGTTGAACACTGATGCTGTTGAACACTAATGCTGTTGAACACTAGCACTGTTGAACACTGATGCTGTTGAACGTTAACACTGTTGAACACTGATGCTGTTGAACACTGGCACTGTTGAACACTGGCACTGTTGAACACTGATGCTGTTGAACACTGGCTCTGTTGAACATTGATGCTGTTGAACACTGACACTGTTGAACACTGCCACTGTTGAACACTGATGCTGTT